CTGATGAAATTAAATGTCTCGAGATGAGATCATTCTGGATTTAGGGTGGGCCCTAAATCCAATGATGAATGTCCTTATAAGATACAGGAAAGGAGAACACACAGAGACACGGGGAAAGGCCATGTGAAGATAGAGGCAGAGATTGGCATGATGCCACTACAAGTCAAGGAATGCTAAGAATTTCTGGCAGCCACCAGAAGCTAGGGGAGAGGGATGGAATAAATTCTCCCTCAGAGCCTCTAGAAGGAACCAATCCTGCTGATACCTTGATTTCTGATTTTTGGCCTCCAGAATTGTGACAGAGTAAATTTCAGTTGCTCTAAGCCACCCAGTTTATAGTAATTTGTTATGGCAGCCCTAGGAAACTAATACATAGGTTTTGAAGGCAACTGATTCTCCTGTATGCCTTCCTTTGGCTTGTGACCAACTCCCAATCACCTGGGAAGACAGAGACATGGCAAGTCAGATCATATGAAGCTGTATAGCATACAGAAGTTGTTTTAATTTCTATTTCTTGTGAATGTACTTTGTGAATTTCATTTTCTAGTGTCATTTTGTCTAAACAAATGACAAAATTAGTTTACACTTCAGAGTCAGCTCCCAATGGATATATGGAAGGGAGGCAGATCCAGTGGAATACAAGAGGCAAAGCAAAGTGAAGGCTTAGGCAGAATATTTCTCCCCAGTGATCCACAGCATCAAAGACCTTTAATGGTTGTGCATAAGAAGAAAAAGTAATAAAGCAAGGAGGGGAGGAAGGAAAGAAAGGGGGCAGGGAGAAAGTGAGGAAAGAAGGACAGATGGAATAGACCATGATTATGACAAGTGAGTGACCTTTGAATGCCCCATAGGGCATCTTGCAAAAATGAATCCCTTTATATTTAATTCATAAACACAGGTGAAAATGCTCCTAAAGTTCTTGGTGTCCACTACAGTGATGCAAGCTGGCCAGCCCACAACTACTGTTTCAAGTCAGATACTGATACTTTTTGATCAGTATAGCACCAAAAAAAAAAAAAAAGGCAATAAGGCTCTGTGCCTGCAGGTATGATCAAAGTACACAGGTCTATGTTTACTGCCTTGCATTTTTTCTCATCTGCCTTCTGACATGCGTGAATTCGGGGCCAGGAAGCTTACACTTGGTAATGGGCAGCTGTATTTTAACTGCAGGTCTGCATGTTTTGGTAAGGAGAAAAAAAAAAGAAAGATGTTGAGATGCCTGTCTACAGGATGGGCAGGTATCACTGCACACTTTTAAACCTGTTGAAGGAGACAGAGTAAGTCATAGGAAGTCACGGAAAATGGAGCAACTCTAAAAAATTTCTACATCTTACGCCTACTGAAGTGTACCTATTTTGGCTTTCAACTTCCCAGCGCATAAATGGCCTTGGTTCCTACCACTCCCATTTCTGGATCCCTCCCCTCATCGTGGCTTATTGCAAATACCACTCTCCTTCTAACCTGGAAAGAACTTCAAGGGAACAGCTCACACATCTTCATAAGTTGGAATAATTAACATATGTTGTAGGAGGAGGCCATTTGGAGCCAGTAATCAAGTGAAGAAGTAAACCAGTGTTCACAAGAACTGGATCAACCAGGTTCCAAATAAGCTTTTTTTTTCCCCCCTAAGCATTTTCCCTGAGTTCCTGATGAATAACCTTCTGCTCTTAGGATGCCTAAGACTTGCCCTTTTGATAGCCTCAGATGTGCTTGTTCTCTCACTGCATTTAAATTTGATCACAGGGCAGGGGCTGGCTGTCTTCTATGGCTTCCCCCAAGAATGTGAGTCTGTGATGTATGTTTAATGTTTTCCCTCTGTCACAGAGATAAATGTCATCGGTAATTCTGATTGGCAGGCCCCATGTTTAAGGCTTGTGGAATTATGTGAGTCCCAGGGCCACAGGAATTGTTCCTCATTCAAATATCTACAAAGCATAATTAAGTGGATTAATGATGTGGGGTTCTAGAAGCAATATGGTTTTGTAAAAATTTTGAGCAGCTTTCCCTTCCTCCATTTCTACTAATTTTATCATTCTTTTTTCCCCCTTCTTTTTTTTTTTTGATTTGTGATTTTTGCTTTCAGCCCTCAAAACCTCTATGAGCTTATTATGGTATTTCCTTGCACTGAATGTCTCATTTGGCCCCTCTCATTACTACCCCTTGGTTGATTTCCTCTCCTCAGTATCCAGAGGCCCCCTTGTGCTTCTCAGATTAAATCTTCCACTCTTGTCATTGTCCTCCTCACTTTGCTTAATTAGATAATTTCAGAGACAGCTTTGAAGGCCCTAGGTGTTACTCCAGTGCTAAATGGGATAGTTATAATTATTATCTGGAAGACTGACATCAATATCATCAGCTTCTCTCTTCTTTTCCTTGTCCTAGGCATCTGGGTATGAATAATGAAAACAGTCTTTTCTTAAATGGAAAAATTATAATATAGTTATGTTCTTTTCCCTAAGTTGCCTGTTAATGGAAATTGAGGCATATCTGTGTCCTTTTGGCCTGTGTAAAGGAATAGGGATGGTTAGGACATGGTAATACGTATTGTGAATGATCAACGTCTTTGATTTTTTTTTTTTTAATGATTTCTGTTTTTATTACCAAACCAACAGAAACTTGTTGTAGAGAATTTGGATAATTCAGAAAAGCACACAGATAAAAAGACATATCATGTGTGTTTTCACCTTACAAATTTTATGTGTACGTATGTGTGTATGAGTCTATTATATTGATATTAATTTATTTTTACACACAAAAAGGGTCAAACTGAACATTTTTTCTACCTTACATATTAAGCTTAATGCATTGTGGACATTTAAATTAAATTTTTTTACATCAACATGACCGTAGAGCCCCCCTTTATACAGATCTAACTAATCCCCTATGAACAAGTATTTGGGTTCCAATCAACAATTAGTCCAACAATTAATTGTACTAGTATAAACAATGCTGCAATCAACATCCTTTATGCATAGCCATGATAGTTTTTTTAAAAGAATTATTTCTTCAACAAAAATTTCTGAAGTTAGATTTGCTGTTTAAAGACATGAAATTTTAGTGAGTATTAGGTATACAGGAAAACACCCACCCAAAATTGAACCAACTCATGCTGTTGTCTTGGTTTGGGTTAGAACACTCCATGTCAAAGAAGCTCTTTCCCAGTCTTTGCTTACCTTGGACAACAAACACGGGATTAGTTTTTTTCTGGTTACATATATTTTGGAAATGTCAAAGACCATGACCTTTCCTCCCTTCTAAAACTCCCTTCTAGCACTCAGTTTTGCAGTTTAATATGTCAGAGCAGAGTTCCAAAAACCATGATTAGTCTGCATCTAATTTAGTTCTATTTATCTTCTCTCATTTTTTTTCTTTCTTTTTTTAATATCAGTTTGGTATACATTTGCCTTTCCAAGTGTTGTTAGAAAGCAACTTTTCTCTTGTTTTACATGTGATTCATGTTTTCATTAGAATCCTTAATGTATTCAAATATTCTTCTCTTTTTACCTAACAATATAATATATATTATCTATGGGATGTCATTTAAGCTCCCTTGCAAAATCTGTTTATAAAAGCAAGACCTATTTGTTCAGGGAAGTTAACATTCTGACTCAAAGGGAAGATACCTGAGGGTCTCAGAGGGATCTACCTACGTGTGTCTAGACTGAATTCTGAAGTAGAATTCTGACATCTCTAGACCCAGATGTTCTATAAACCAAACAGTGGACTGGTTGAGCTCATATCCATAAACTGAGAACTCTAACAAATATGAGGTCACTATGGCATAGGGGGTAAAAGCACAAATGGACAGCTTTAGAACCAGTCTTACCTCAAAGTCCGATTTTCCTTTCCGTTATAATGGAGAGACACTAATATTTATTTGGAGAATCACTATGATGGTTAAATGAGCTGATATGCTTTCAAGTGCTTTATAATAAGGTGCTTGGCACATAAATTATATCTCAATGTATGATCATGGAGGAAAAGATATTTTAAGAAGCAGATAAAATCTATATTAAGTGAATTTGTACTGGAAACGCATAAAAGGAGTATAAGAACAGATTCTCCTAATATAGAAATCGAGGATATAATATCCCCTTTTTTCTTTACTATAAAAAGTGCTAGGAAAAATCTAGAGCCTTCCTAAACTCAATTTTAACCAATTAGCAGCAGAACTTCTTTACTTCTTACAGAACCATGCCCCTCCCCATTTGAGAATCTAATAAAGCTTTGAATTCTCGATAGAAATATGCACATTCATGTCACATTTTGCAATCTGGGACACCAATCTATACCAAGTGAAAACTGCCCCCAAACATAAAGATTGTAGGCCATACTTTGATTTATCTGAACAAAGTCAGAAAGGAGAGGTTATGGCCATCTTGGGGCTGCAGATGGATATACCTGACTTCTGAGCTGGAGATTCTAATCATTACCATATGCTGGATACATTCTATGCCCTTGAGCACTCATAACATAGAAAGAAAGACAAATCAAGAAATAAATAAGTACGGCGCAGTGTGGCAAATGTGACAATAAGTGCATGTACTGAAAGGAATGATTTCATGGGAGTGGGGTACAAACCTCACAAAAATGACTCCTACTTCCTCTGATTTCACAAGTACAGCAGTGGTCCCAGGGTCTTTCAGAATCTTGGGAGATTCAGTGGATCACGTGGCATACATTGTGTCAATATCGAAGTCCCAGATTAGAGGGAACTCACAGAATCATGTTCTGTCCCTCTAAGTCCATCCCCCTTCTCTATAGGAGATACATGGAGCAAGGGAGTGTGGGTGAATGGAAGCTTAGCAGAAGACATACCTTCACCCTTTGCTTGGCACATGTGAGCTCATCTGTAATATACTAAAATGTCTATGATTCCCCCACCAAACCTTGAAATCTCTGAATTCTTGATTCCAAATATCCAGAGGAGGGAATGGACACATTTCACCTTGCACATACAGCCTTGTTTATGGAGGGCTCTAATAGTGTTCCAGCCCTGCTTATTCAACGAAGAGTTCTAACTTGTATCATCCTTGCTCAAGGGCCATGCTAATCCTCTCTGTATCCTTCCCATTTTAGTATATATGCTGCTGAAGTGAGCACAAATGGCTCTAACTTGGACAAGCAAGAAAGAAAGGGTACTAAGAAAATGGTCTGATCATTCAGTTACACTCAAGTTATATGGGAGCAAAATTAGGGTGATTTCTCCTACTCCCAAGGGCATTGCTAACTCCGTTTGCATAAGACCATTGCTGACTAGTATTTTCCCTCACACACACCTAAACTCCAATCATTGCCTTAGCGCCTGCCAGCCTTGAGCACATTATGGAATAAGTTAACATGTACCGAATGCTGACTGTATATGTGGTAGTGTCCTTAGTGTTTTACATATGTGGGCTTGGCCCACCCTCCCAACATTGTGAAGAAGAAATAATAATAATAATAATAATATCATTAGATGTTGCTCAGGATCACACAGCAAGTGGGTGGAGTTGGAAACAGAGTCCAGGGTGTTAGCCCCAAAACTCATTCCCTCATGCACAAGGCCATGGTACCTCCAGAAGAGCAGGTCAGTTTCAATGTTTGTAAAAATGGGATGATGCTGACCATTCTTCAGGGCAATAGTAGGATTAAATAAGATTGGTTTTGGCAATCAAGTAGTATCAAATAATAGGGTCCCTGGCCATGAAGGGAATCTTTTTGGAAGCATCCACAGGTGTGGAAGTCAGGCTGGCCACCGGTCGTGCACTGTTACACACCACTGATCGTGGCAAGTGAATCCACAGTGCTTTTTATTTATTCTCTTTCTCTCATCTTTCTGCCTTCTGTTCTCTTCTATACTACTTGCAAGTGTCTGTTTAAGTGAGTTAAGATGATGGCATTTCATTTTCTTGTGGTCTTCATTTCTGGCTATGTGGATCATTTTTAGTCAACAAATGAGTTGGCTTTCCCAAAACCGCCTGGGTTGACATTTTTCATTTGAATTGCAATATGTTCTTCCAAAGGTGAATGATCAGAAACTATAGTCTACAAGTCAACAATACACTCAGAGGCAGAGAGCCAATACAGTTTTCTTTGTTGCTTTAATTACTGTGTGTGCTTAGGTTTTTTGGATTGTCATTATTCTTGTTGAAAGGAATTGAATGCACATAAGTAACTCTTCCATAAATATTGCTTGAGCCCTGCATAATGCAAGGCTAGCCCTGAGCTAAGAGCAAGGGACTACCAGATAAATCAAAACTGGGGTTAGATCCTAGCATGTGGCAGGTAGTAGGGGAAAGACAACAGGCTGAGAAAGATAGATGAGACAAAGAGCTACCATCCATTAGAAAGGTGAAGGTAATGGGCTGTGGTGGCTTAAAGAGGAGAGAGATTGTTTCCATCAGGAATGATCATGGAGGGCTTTCTAAAGTTGGTGGCAATTGAATAGGACCTTGAAGGACATAGAGAATGTGGACTATGGTTGGTAAACCAGAAAGGGTGAAGGACATCCCAGTTTTGCAGAACATATCTGGAGAGTAGCATATGATTATAGAGACTTTAAGAAGAAGGTTAATTTTTATAAAGAAAAAATGACCTCATTTGCTAGGAAATAAATAGGGAATTAATCAGATTAACAGCTCTGAACTCATTTCTCACCATTCTTCTCTGGCTCACAATTCCTCCAATACACTACTGCCTCAGGGCCTTTGCACTTGCCATTCCCTCTGATATGAACATTTTTCCTAGATTTTTGCTTGCCCAGTTCTGTTTTGTCTTTCACATCTCAGTTCAAACAACCCCTCTTAGCGAGAGCATGACCTCTGTGATGAGGTTGCCCTCCCTCACCCCCTGTTCATGCCCCCCCTTCATCTACCCACACACATACACCTCCTCAGCAGTAACTTACTATGACAGCATCCTTGTTTGTTTCATAGCACTTTCCATACTGTCTTGTTTAATACTCTATTCCTGGCACAGAGAATCTCAACTCCAATATATTCCTAACCCATGTAGCTACATCACATCAAAATACTAGTTTTCATGCAATCCCAGAGAGCTGAAACTCTTGATTTTTCCTTCTATAAAAGTGGATGTGAAAATGCTTGCTTCCCTTCAAGTAGTGGTTCTCAGCCTGGTGCACATTAGAATCACTTTGGAGCTTTTGAAACCCCAGGTAATTGAGCCTTAACCCAGAATAATTAAGCCCGAATCTCTGCAGGTGAGGCCCAGGCCATGTCAGTATATTGCTCCCTAGCTGGTTCTTGTGGACAGTCCCAACTGAGAACCAATGCTTTGGAAGGAGAATGCAAGAGCAGGCACCTTCACTGCTGATAGTTCCCTTCCCTGCCTGCTCTGGCAGGGTGGGGGTGGGTAGCAGGATCAGGGGCACCAGATTATCCAGGTCCCAAACAAAGATACACAATCTGGAAAGCAGAAGCAATATACACTTCCTTCATTCCTTCATTCCACAGAGGGTTAAGGCATGTCTGCCTTGTGCCAGAAGCTGTCCCAAAGGGGTTCAGAGTTGAGTGAACTAGACAGAGTGGTCAGCATTCTACCCTTTAGGTCCCATAAAATGCTAACCTTCTCTTGGAGACAACACTGCTTGACTGCAGGGTTTGGTCGTGAACCAAGTAGGATGTTCTAATTAGAAGTCCAAAGGAATCTTTCCTCAGATCTTCACTTAACCAATGATGTTACTTCCTAGAGTTCAATAGCATGTTCCAGAAATGCCATTCCTTTCAGAATATGATTCAGACTCATTGCCAGCATTTGTTTCTCCAGAGGCAATCAGGAAATCCTTCTCAAAAAAGTACAAGTTTGACAAAAATGGGTGATTTCAATTGGCAGAAATGGGAGCCAAGGCATTCCAGACAGAGGGGACACTGGAGTAAAGCCAGGCAGAATAGTAGCTGCAAATAATTTGGGAAAATGAGATCACAGGCACTATGAAAAAAAAATCTGTGGGCTTTACTGGAAAACTTATGTAACACTTCCTATTTGCTTGCTTTCATGTATTGTGTCCATGTCCTCACAGAGAGGAGCTTCAGGAAGGTATTTCTCTTTCCAAACAACCAATCTCAAATCCTTTTTCTTTCTATAACAAAAATATCTGGAAAACCCCATCCTGTCATTTCCATTGTAAGCACACAGCAATCAACTGCTGCCCTAGATTTGCATTAAAAGGATGCCTGACCTTCATTAAAAACTCCAGTAGGCATCTGGGTGGCTTAGTCAGTTAAGCAACTGCCTTCAACTCAGTTCATGATCCCGTAGTCCCGAGATCAAGCCCCACATTGGGCTCCCTGCTCAGCGGGGAGTCTGCTTCTCCCTCTGTCCCTCACCCCGCTCATGTTCTCTCTCTCTCAAATAAATAAATAAATAAATAAAATCTTCAGAACAAAACAAAACTCCAGAGAATGATGGTATTGCTTGCCAGAGTCCTGAGCAGCACTGTGGATAGAGACCTGCTCTCTATCAGCACCAAAAATCCAAATAAATCTACCCTCGGAACTATCAAAAGCCCAGCCAAAGCAAAAAGGCTCTTGATGCAGTCCTTCAACTCAAGAGTGAAAGTATCCTTAAAAAGAGATTTCCCCTGATAGCCAAGTGCATAAGCCTTCCTACTCCCTCTCCCAGCAACCTCCTGATGGGTAATTAATGTCCTCTGCATGGCAGTATCCTGCTACTTTGCAGTATTGTGCCCCCCATGTGTGAAGCTCATGACCTCAGTGTCCATTTTTAAAAGTTAATATGATTTAATGTGGCACTCTATCTTCCCAATGCACTTCAGAGTTAACATCCTACTTAATTTTGTCAAAGGTCTTTGTCTTGAGTTACAGCCTGGAAGAGAAGATTCTAGGGAGGGCTTTATGATATTAAATAATGCATAGAGAAATGAACCACCCTTCCCAGTGGTTCAGAAGCTCTTGCTGGTCCCTAGCTCCCTTCCTACATGCTAATATCTGATTTTGATTTTGAGAAAACATCCACTTGGAAGCTAACAGCAGGAGAGAATTATCCTCTCCCTACCCTCCCTCTCTCTCTCTCTCTCTGAATTAAAAAAAAAAAAAAATCCATGGAGTCTCCCGCTTGATCTCCCTTTGTCATTAACATCTCATTTTAAACCAAAGTGTGTTTCACAGAATGTTAATGGATGTTACACAACCTCAATTTGGAGCCAAATAAACTTTTGGGAAAATGGAGTTAAACAGTTAAGTAGGTATATTATTTACTGAGGTCAGGTAATAAAGCCTTTAATGGTGACTCTGTACTATTAATATTCAAGAGGGCTGTGTAATTTGTAGCATTTCCCAAATTAAGTGTTTCCATGGAACGCTTTTTTGATGTAGTGTTTGGAGAGACATGAGTTCATCAACTAGTGTTGAAATAGCAAAAAGAGGCCTGTCTCTGTGACAGATGCTCAGATGTTCCCCAGGAGAGTTATGATTGTTGACTGAAAAACCACTAGGTAGGTCAAGTCACAGGAGTTGTGTTCAACCGGGAGGAGAGGTAGGAGATCTCCCCACAATTTCCAGTCCGCCTTCTCTCTAATTTTCTCATGTATATAATGGGGAATAATAATACCTACCTCTCCGAATCGTTAATAGAATTGTTCAGATGACTAATGCTCAGCAATACAGCAGAAGGGAAGCATTCATTCAATTAACAGTAACTGGTATCCCAAGGTCCTCTAGGAGAGTGTTTCTCAAATTTTACCATGTGCATATTCTCACTGGAGTTTGTTACAATGAAGATTCTGATGCAAGAGGTCTGGGATGGGGACTGAGATTCTTTGATCCGATGCCCCTAGTTTGAGGACCATAATTTGAGAAGCAAGCCTTTCAGAGATACAAAATGAACCAAACAGAGTCTCTACTTTTAAAGTAATAATATAGAGAGAAATTAGACATGCAGTGAGCTACCTCAATGGCAAGCAAAGGCTGGTACAAAGAAACCACTTGGGAGGACAAGGTTATTCTCACTCACACTAATTCACACTTGCTCTCAAGGGGAGTCAAAGCTGACTTTGAATGATGAGCAAGCCAGGAATCCTGGGTCCTGGCTGTGCCAGAAAGGAAACACATTCATGGAGGTAGGAAAGCATATGGCTAACTTAG